AAACAATACTGCCATGGTAAAAAATGCATTGCTCATCATAAAAAGGTTATGAATGAATTTTAAAACAGAGGCCATATTAAAAAATAAAATAAGAAATACACTTTTACCGTAAGTAACTTTTTTTTTGTTTCGTTCATTCGAATACTTTCATCAGGTTAATATAAAGATATCAAATCCATTCATACTTCAACAGTGAGTGAATGGGAGTATTATTAGTGCACAGGCATTAGTTCAGTCATATCGTGTCGATATCAATATTAAAATCAATAGAGTTGTAACATAAACACTAGTACATTATAGTGTATAGATAGTGTGGCGTACAGTTAACTGAATCAAACCGAAATAAACAAACAACAAAAAAACACAAACAAAACAAAAATGAATTGACGATGTATGTTTTCACATCATCTATCAATCATAAAAAAGTAGGTGTTACCTAGGATGACATCGGGAACCAGTGATTCGTCGATGATGTCTCACAATGTTTGTAGTCGTAAACGTATTCATTAAGTTAACCAATCACTCGTATTATACGGTTAAGTATAAAAGTCAGCAACGGAAATTTGGAAGGACACTTTGAGCCCGCTGCTTATAGTTGAATACAACCTCTGACTTTGGTCCTCACACGCACAGATCTACCTTGTTTGAAACTTCTTCGCCGACTTTGAACGAATTGGTAAGTGAGTTAAGATTTCATTTTAAAATACGTAAGTGCGGTATATATATATATATTATTCTATAGCTATGCGATACTGAGCGAGTGCATATGTATGTTTAACAACCTTATGTTTACTCTTACAGATATATTTATATGGATAGCGTAACGGGTAACACATAGACATTGTACAAGGAGAGAATAGATAGTATGTCATCCTACACAACGTGTCCGGTCTATGTTTGTGTATTATGTCAGAAATCATACGCATCTAAAGTAAACTTATATCGTCATCAAAAGAGTTGTTTTGAACAAGAACCCGAGCAATTTCCTTGCAATCACTGCGACGTTGTGTGTACCAGAAAAGACAATTTACAAAAACACATTCTTAGATGTCATAGAGAAACGTTAAAATGTCGCAAGTGTGGAATGCAAAGTAACACTTTCTTGGCTTTGCGAAAACACCTAAAAGATTGTCAAGTTCATCAACTGTTCAGTTGTGAAAAGTGTGGAAAACAATACACCAATCTAAATTACTTAAAATGGCATGTGCGACGTCATCACCCATCTCTTTTTTTCTGTCAACAATGCAATTTCTCCTGTAGCAGTAAGTACAAACTAGCTTATCACAAACGTCGGCAGCACGGTTCATTCTCCGGCAAAGGGAAAGGCCCCGCCAGGAACAGTAGGTCGGTAAGGGGTGGAATTTTGGGCAGCGGTCGTGCTAAAGGACGCAGGCAAACGAAGACACCAGTTACACAATCTAACACGAGACAAAATAGCATACCTCACGGGTGCGCGCGTCAAGCATTTGATGGTGAGGCTAGGGTATTTAACTTCACACCAAACGGTATTAATGAGGGTAGTGACCCTTTATTGTATTTAGCGTCCACACAAGAGAGAGTTATTGATGTGGTAAGAAGGGAAATGGACGAAAGAAAATCTGTTAAATGGGGGCTGTGTCTACACGTTCAGTTTTCAAAACTAGCAGACGATGGACAAGTGAATCACACGGAACCTTTTTTTCATTCGCCGATGGTGGTTGGTACGGAGGTTGACAGTTTGATCGAACAATATCACCAGCACGTCAATACATTATTACGACGTATAGATAACTATGAGGGAGAGAGTTCAAATCTAAACTTTGAAAGAGTTCTCAACGTCAAACTAACCGTAACTCGGTTCAGACCCTTTCGCGGCTCATCGTTCATCAATCTACCCACGGAATTGAAACGACATAAGAAATCAATACTGAACATAGACAACAGCGATGATCTGTGTTTTCTGTATTCGGTGATAGCTCACTTTTTCCCCGCTCCCCCAGAGTCTCATCGCGAACGTGAAATCCATTACTTGCCCCACATCGATAAGTTTAATATAAACGGTATCTCCTTTCCCATGACCTTAAAAAAGGTTTCTAAATTTGAAAGTCAAAACAATGTATCCATTAATGTATATGGGTATGAAGAACCGGTGGTTGACAAACGCGGTAACGTTACTCCAGGTTACATTTATCCTGTTCTCATTAGTAAACAACAGGATGATGTTCCTCGCGAACGGTGTATCGATCTCTTGCTACTAACGGATATAGGAAAGAGTCATTTCTGTTTAATTACCAACTTGGCGAGTTTGGTGAAATCATCTATTACGCAAAGAAACAGTCAAGTGTGTCGACGATGTCTTTGGTCTTTTACAAAACAGTCGGCCTTCGAAAAACATGCTTCCTATTGTAATCAAAAAACGCAGAGAATTACAATGCCGAGTGAAGATGATGATGGCGATCTGCTCGAATACGGTTTGAGACAGAAATCCTACGAACAAGAATGCGATTTCATTTTTTATGCCGATTTTGAATCTGTACTCGAACCGCAAGACGATCCGGATTCTAATCGTCTCCAAACTCACGTTCCCTGTGCCTATGCTTACAAACTGATTAGTCGTGTACAAGACTATTGTCAACCCTTGCAAGTGTATACCGGTCCCGATGCCGGTATTCATTTTATGACGAGTATTTTAGAGGCTTACGATTGGATCCAAGACGAAATTTATGCAAATCCAGTTGACCCCATCATCTCTCGCGATGATGCCATAGAGATAAACATAGATGATGTCTGTTGGTTATGCGGAGAGGGGTTCGAATTGTCATCGCCGGTCGTGGACCACGATCATTTAACAGGTCGGGTCAGAGGGTTAGCGCATTTTGACTGTAATCTCAATTATCGACAACGAAAGAGGGTCGTTTGTGTGCTACACAATGCAGAAAAGTACGACACACATCTGTTGTTACAGGCTGTTGAAGCCTTTTCGGACAGAGAATTAAATTGTATTGGTCACAATACTGAAATTTTTTTAAGTTTCAGCGTCGACAACCTCGTGTTCTTGGATTCTTATAAATTTTTGAATGCTTCCCTAGACAAGTTAACTAAAAACTTGAAAGACAAAGGCATTGAGCACTTTCAACATTTAAATGAACAGTATCCTCACCATGTACACCTCTTGACGAGAAAATTACCGTTCTGTTATGAATATCTGAGCAGTTTTGAGGTATTGGGTGAGACATGTTTACCGTCCAAAGATGAGTTTTATTCTTCGCTGAGCGAGGAAGGAATTTCGGATCCAGATTATGACTTTGTACAACAACTTTGGCATACGTTTGACATGAAATCGATGAATGATTTTGTGAAATTGTACGTGACGGTAGACACCTTGTTGTTATGCGACGTCATGCAAATGTTTCGATCTATGTGTATGAAGGACTACGGTCTCGAGCCGTTTCATTTTGTGAGTCTGCCCGGTTTCTCGAACATGAGCTGCCTCAAGCTCACTGGTGTTCAGTTACGTCTCTTAACACACCCCGATTTGTACGGGTATTTTGAGAGGGGTATCAGGGGTGGATGTAGTTTCATCAGCCATCGTTATTTCAAAAGTAACAATGTATACATGGGGGACGAGTACGACCCTACAAAAGAGACGGGTTATTTGTTGTACTACGACGTCAATAGCCTGTACGCTACTTGTATGACAGAGCCCTTGCCCGTGGGGAAGTTTGAGTTCTTAGAGCGTGACGTGTTTGACAGCATTGACTGGATGTCTGTCCCTTATGACGGAGACTATGGCTATGCGATAGAATGCGATCTGACAATTCCTCCGCATTTACACGACTTCTTCGCTTCATTCCCTCCTGCGCCAATGCATAGAGACATACCATCGAACGAATTTTCACCGTACTGTGAAGAGATTTTAAAAGAATTAGGTCTATCTAAAACTAAATCGAGCGGGAAGAAATTGTTTTGCACGCTTTACGACAAAAACAACTACATTGTTCATTTCGAAACGTTGAAGTGTTACTTGAGACTGGGAATGCGAGTGAAACATATTCACGCCGTAGTCAGATTCGCTCAGTATGCATGGATGAAACCTTATATCGATATCAACACGCACAAACGTAAAATGGCTAGCGACAGCGCATCGAAAGATTTTTACAAACTTTTGAGCAATGCGTGTTATGGAAAACAGATTGAAAACTGTAGAAAGTATAAGGACATTCGTTTGGTGACCGATGCTAACATACTGGCGAAATGTACTGCCAAGTGCAATTTCAAACGTCTCAATATTTTCTCCGAACAGTTGACTTCGGTAGAAATGGAACGCACCTCAGTCGCATTAAACAAACCCATCGCCGTGGGTTTCTGTATACTGGAACATGCCAAGAGAAGAATCTATTCTTTCTGGTATGACGTTTTGGTTAGACAGTACGGTAGTCGGGTGAAACTGTGTATGTCTGATACAGATTCGCTCTTATTCGCCGTGAGCGCTCCGCCCGAAAAACCCCTCCTTGACCCTTATCTGTTTATGAGCTATCACATGGAATTGTTTGACACATCCAATTTTCCAAAGACTCATCCGCTGTACAGTAAAGAAAGACATAAAGAGCCGGGTCTTATGAAATCAGAAACCGCACATAATATTATCATCGAATTTGTAGGATTGAAAAGTAAATGCTACAGTTTTGTAGTAAAGCAGAGGGTCGAGAGCGAGGAAGGAGAAAAGAGTACTGTACTGTTAGAGGAGAAACGTGCTAAGGGTGTACAGCGTACCTGGGTGAAAAAACACCTACGTCATGAGATGTTAAAACAATGTGTGTTTGATAGAAAACAGTTTTGGGCTACTTTTCAACAAATCAGGTCTTTTCACAACACATTGTACACAGTGAAGGTTAGGAAAGTGGCGTTGTCTCCTTTAGACAATAAAAGGTACATACTCGATGACAGGGTAACATCCTTGCCCTATGGTTACATTGCTCCCGAGTAGAGACGATCCAAATCTCTCCTTGTCAATGGTTTATCGTGTTTAAAGCACGCACACTATCCCCTGTATGAAGAGTCGCAGACAGGCGGATGACTACTAGTCAAGAACTGCAAGAAGCATGCCTACACGAAGACACGTGTATACATGTATTCGATGGATGCACATCTTACCTATATCAGGTTAACCGATTATACTCGTTTCGTTAACAAAACAACTGATAGATAAAGGAAAGTAATGAATGAATTAATAGAATAACATATCGCTATGGAAACAGTGAATTGAAATAAAGGCAAATGTCGTTTATAACAGTACATTTTAAACACATATAGGAATGAATATGTAATGCGTATTGTTTTGTTATTTTTATTTATTTATTTTTATATATTTTTGTTTGTTTTTTGTTTTTGGTTATTATCAACAGCACCGCCATGAACTGCAACAGCTCAACGATGTCATCGATGAAATATCATTTCATCATCACGGATCGACGAGGACGCACAGTCCATGAGGATGAGCGATATTATAGCGATGAAATGTTGGCTCTGTCAATTGCTTTGGAGTTAGTTAAATCGACGCAGTTCCAGGTCTCAGAGGGACCGTATCGCATACAGCTCGGGAGTTACAACTTTGTGTCGCCGCTCCCCAAGCAAATGAAGATTGAGAAACAGAGGCTGGAGTTTGAACATATCCTCGATGGTTACTATGTCGCGGCACTGCGCGATGGTATAGAGATAAGAATTAAAGAAACTAACTGTCCATGTCCCGGATGTGAAATCAGCCATCCCTCGCAGCGACAACACACGTGTCTATATCCTAAGAGCTACAGCTCCGAGGTCACGTGGTACTTCGATGAGGTCATGAAAACTCTGACACACGAGGATCTTTTTCGAAAAGCAAAGCAACATATGGTTGAATATGGAATCGTTCATGCCGGCTATGATCCGTCACCTTTCCACGAGGACGAAACGTGGGTTCGTCAAAATTATTTAACTGACGAGAGACAAAAGAAATGGACTGTCACTTTACAAATAATAATGGACTGATATCACATTATCCTCAAAGCAAAGATAATTGATCAATGTATTATCACGGAAGAAATTGGATAGGGTCAGTGGCTATATTTATCATATCATTCACATAATTATGGTAACCTTGATAGACATGAATGATTAGATTTCTATGATGGAGAGATATATAATATATTATTATACAGTTGTACATAGATTCTTCTGAGGTGGATAGATATATAATATATTATTATGCAGTTGTACATAGTATCTTCTGTAATGAAACGCATGTGATATTTCATAGTTAGATGTGTAATAAAAATTGTTTTGAATTTCTTAACCTTGTAGTAATTATTGCATCGAACTGAAGCGAATCATATTCATGTAAAAATCATCAATCATCGATTTCATTACATATTTCCAGACAATGTCATCACATTCGAACGGAACAGATGAAAATTGTCTCATATTAGCAGTTGAAAACTAATTGTCAGCATCTCCGCATAGGGTTCGCTTAGGGTAAATATCATGAAAAAGTTGTATGCGGAGTTCTGCAAGCCTCTTCTGCGCATGCTTATCTTAAGCCGATCAGTCACATGTGAGCGAGCGCGGGATGCGACAGGGAGATGGTCATGATGCTTAAGTGTTTGTTAATAGTTTGGTTCTCCCTCGGCTCTGTACTTACAGAGAAACCCGAATTGGATATACGTACATGTAAAACAAACGGTGCCGGATTGATCGTATCATGCAAGAGGACAAATGTCAAGTACATACACATGAACGGAAAGCCTTTCGTAGGTATCGTCCGCATTGAGCTGGGGAGGGGCGATGAACTGGCGATTCGAGGAAACCTGTTCCCGGATCTGATGACAATCAGAGGGGGCGATGTCGAATGTTCCGACATCATATGTCCCATGAATGTCATCGACGTGAACGGAGTCAGATGCGGTAAGTAACCAATTTTTCACGATCGAACTAAATTTTATATTATAAATGGATGTGCAACACATGATTATAATAATTTTATTAATGAAAGCCTTCTCACTTGAAGATTGAAACGATTTTCTCAAACTAATCTAAAGGTAGTACCGTGTAGGTAACTCTCTCTCTCTGTGTGTGTGTGTGTGTGTGTGTGTGTGTGTGTGTGTGTGTGTGTGTGTTCTTGCGATACAACAATGAAAACAAAAGGTATACTTAGAATTGTTTATCTTATTGAACAGACATCACTCCATCGCCATCATTGAGGACGACGACAATGACAACCCCCACCACTGCTGTCACCACTTCCATCACGGATGCTGCGCTAACATCGTCAATGACAACCCCCACCACTGCTGACGCCACTACCGCCACGGATGCTGAGCTCACATCATCAATGACATTGTGGTCTAGTACCGAGACACTCACCACCACCACCACCACCATCATGACATCGTCAATGCCACGGACTACTGTGACACCAGCAGCTACTGCAAAGGATGATCTTATCTCATCTTCCAATTCCAGTATGTTACTAAAAGTCCTACTCCCTATTTTCATCTTTGTAATCATAATTTCCATATTGTTTGCTCTATTTTGTTTCTTCAAATCAAGAAAAGGTAACATTTGTGTTACTAATCATAGAAACTTTCATAGTCAATTTGAAAATAAAATATATAAAGATTGTTCTATACCACTGACAGATATGTAATGTATTATTTATCATTAATCATCATAAGCCTTTAGCACATTCCTTAAAGTAAGATTTTTGTTTTGTCTGTTGGTTTTTCAGTCATTCAACAGGAATTAGTTGGTGTGTTGATCATGATGACATTAGTTTTCCTGCTGCAAGTGCTTAAACTGATAATACGACACTGTAGTACACGACTGTTGAGATGTGTAAACGGATCCCGCACACCTTCGCTTAACACTACTGTTGTTGATGATGATGATGATGATGTTGATGATGATCTGCACCCCCATCACCTTTCGAAATCCCATCACCACCACTATCTCCGCATATGCCACCACCACCAACACCACCATCACCATCACCATCACCTCCCTCATCACCTCAGCGGACACCTGTTACCCAGTTACCTGCAACTGCTTCTCCAGTCCCTACAGCACAATGCTTGACAACAACTCCAATGAACGAACCCGCAACTCCAATCAAGGAAACCACAACTCTCCCAGTACGTACCCCACTGAGATATCTGACAAGATATCAGACAAGGAGAATTTCACTTGATAACTAAAAGAACTTTATTGATACTACTAGTATAATTGAGATGGTGCTGACCATTGATGTTGTGGTGCTACGATTGAAAACCTTTTTGTTTTTCCATATATATCATGTGATATGAACAAGTTCACTTGATAACTAAAAGAACTTTATTGATACTACTTACTAGTATAATGGAGATGGTGCTGACCATTGATGTTGTGGTGCTACGATTGAAAACCTTTTTGTTTTTTCCATATATATATCATGTGATATGAACAAGTTTTTGAACTCATCAGGGATGTGATAATTTGTTGTTTTGTTTTTTTCATGATCATGGATGTGATTTTATATTTATGTACAATCGAGATGCTGCTGACCATTCAAGTCCTAGAGCTACTGTTGAAAACCTTCTTTTTTTTCCATATATATATATATATCATGTGATATGAACAAGTTTTTGAACTCATCAGGGATGTGATAATTTGTTGTTGTTTTTTTTTCATGATCATGGATGTGATTTTATATTTATGTACAATCGAGATGCTGCTGACCGTTCAAGTCCTAGAGCTACGGTTGAAAACCTTCTTTTTTTTTCCATATATATATATCATGTGATATGAACAAGTTTTTGAACTCATCAGGGATGTGATAATTTGTTGTTGTTTTTTTTCATGATCATGGATGTGATTTTATATTTATGTACAATCGAGATGCTGCTGACCGTTCAAGTCCTAGAGCTACGATTGAAAACCTTCTTTTTTTTTTCCATATATATATATATATATATATATATATATATATATATATATATTATGTGATATGAACAAGTTTTTGAACTCATCAGGGATGTGATAATTTGTTGTTGGTTTTTTTCATGATCATGGATGTGATTTTATATTTATGTACAATCGAGATGCTGCTGACCGTTCAAGTCCTAGAGCTACGATTGAAAACCTTCTCTTTTTTTTTCCATATATATTATGTGATATGAACAAGTTTTTGAACTCATCAGGGATGTGATAATTTGTTTTTGTTTTCCTCAAAGGTGATTTTTAAGAAATACTTTTGTATAAAAGGAACTGTGATTCGAATAAAAATTCTTTAATGTTCTGTCAGTATTATGTCCTATTTTTTCTAAATGTTTAAATTTCTGATGTTTCATATCATCATGATGTTGTTCAGCTTGGACAGGTGTAAAAACTGAACTTGCAGGAAAATGACTTGAATTTTCCTAGTTTGTACTGAACATCATCTTGAAGGTATGGTCCAAGGGAGATAATTCGTAAATGATAATACAACGACTCGTACAAGATCATCCGACATACATACATACATACATACATACATACATACATACATACATACATACATACATACATACATACATACATACATACATACATACATACATATAACATACATACATATAACATACATACATATATAACATACAAATGAATAATTCCTTAACTTTTATTCAGAAAGTTGTTGCTTTACAGTAACATCTCATAATACCTAACCAATATTACATATATTTACATTCCAACAACTTCAGTAACATTGTTACTAAAAGGTTTCCAAAAGCTTTGCTTTCCTCGTTCCAGGAACACCATATTTCACTTTGCTTTGAACAAACATGTTTTTTGTTTTGTTCATAGTAGCTAATTTTCGCTTTTGCTGACCTTTTCCTACTTGTGTGAAAAAGGTCTGTGATGCAGGCAGTAGTTTTAGTAGTCGAAGGAAAGTTTGAAATTCATCATCAAGATTGTAATGAGTTTTCTGTAACACTAACTGTCGAATGAACTCGATGACATTGGAATGGTTGATAGTATGTCCATGTTTGTTTATCAATTCGAGATTAGTATTCCAATTGATGCGACCGAGAGCTTTTTGTTGGTTGAGATATTGCCACAGGGACACCAATTTCCCCTTAAGCTTATCCGACCGAACATCTTGTAACAGTTGATTTAAAACACTAGGTGGGTGTGCAGGCGTGTCCACTGCTGTCATCGTTGATGTACACCCTCCTGTTAGTTTGTTGTGTGGCGAGGTGATATTATCGTGGATGGACGTATCCCGCTCAGCCGGTGGTTCATCAGTTGTAGTGTTGTCTGGAGTCTGCTGCTGTTGCGGCATAGGGGCTGGTGGGGGTTTCAGGACTGGAGGGGGGTTGGCTTCCATCTTCGGAGGAGGTTGGATCAGGCGATGGTACGTCTCGCGAGATAACAGGATCATGGGTTTCGTCATGTTCGGGTGCGAAATACCTGTCGAGCGCTCTCACACAAGGTGGTAATATAAAGTGAAAAGAAACCAGCAACTCCCTTTTAGCTCTGTATCCTTCCCGTTTGCTGGCTAGTAACCGAATGATCTTTCTGTACCGGTACAAGGTCTTTTTCTCGCGATCCGTCACGGTAATGTGTCCGATGATAATGTTATGTAACAACGTGATGATGGCCTTAAACTGGTTTTTGGACAGATGAGACAGTAATGTTTTACGCTGTACAGGCTTAGACCGACTCAGTACGTGGAGAAAATCCACGTTAACTCGAATACACTCGCTCATGGTGTGAAGCGAACCTTTTTGTACGTATAACCTACAGGCCCGCCGTATGAATCGGGTTGGTCCACTCCAATCCGCCAAGCTTCTTTAAGAGATGTGATGCACGCTTCCTTCGATGAAAACCACATAGGGCTCTCTTTTAAGGTGATCTCTTCGGTCTGGTCCGGGGTAGCTCTTACGGACAAGGTAGAGGGTGGCGGGTTACACACGATCATCCAAAAGTAGACCTTGCTCATAGCGCGGCTGCTGTAAGACTGACTCGATTGAAGCGTGTTTATCGCTTTTTATTTGGGAAAATAGAGGGTGCAAAGTTCGCTGGGTAAGATGCCGGTGCGTAAGCGTCCGTATTCCGGGTCACTGTACGGCGAGGCGTCCACGACTAAATAGCCGTATTTCCTCCCTTCCACGG